CGAAAAAAAATCGAGAAAAAATTTTTTTCGAAAATTTTCACGTTTTTCACGCTTAAATCGGCCATATTTTTTTTTCTTGAGGTCTAATCGTGATTTTGACTACGGATTCTGCATACGGAAAGAGCATAAAATTTTACGTTGGAATATAGTCATTGCAAATTTTTTTCAGACCGATAACACACGAAATAATCGTGTCGAAAACTTAGTAAAAATTCAGAAAGATTGGGCGTTAATGGGTTAAGCTGGCCACACACACTTTCCGTAACAGTAACCGTAAGACGTAACGTAAAAATTGAACAATTATCGAGTATTCACAAAAATGGCGACCTTACAATTCGACGATTCTCAACATGATTGGTCAGTTCTTACGTTACGTCTTACGGTTACCGTTCCGGAAAATGTGTGTGGCCAGCTTTAATCGCTCATTACATGTGGGAAGAAGATAGAATGACGCTTACAGCGCATAAACGCCCAAAGCGAACGCAGCCTAAATCGTATCCATATCCGAAGAATCACGCGCGCCAACATTTTTTCGTTCCTCCCGAAGAGAAAAAGACAAAAGACGCCCGTCCTCTCGCCGTTAATTATACGTTATCACGAAACACAGCGCGAATATGCATTGTTTCAAACATTTCGCGGAATTCCCCGCGTGACTGCGCGAGCTTCTTTCGGAATAAATCATAAATAGCCCGGATACGGCGACAGCTGTTAGACACTTATTTATCCTTTCTCTCTCTCTCTCTCTTTCTCTCTCTCTCTTTCTTTCACGTCTATTTTTGCCGTTGCAACCGCAATATTATTTTTAACGTTTTACAAATAGCATTTGTAATTTTACCGTGGTTGCAGTCTGATCGATCGCCGTGGGAAAAAATGCCTCTCCATCAGCTGAAGAGAAAAAAGATAGAGAGAGAGAGGAGGGGGAGGAAGTGCAATTTCGAAAATTGATGGTGTAATAACGCCGGATTACTTGGCACTGTGCGCATACGAGCGATAATTTCCTTCCTCTCCTCTCTCTCTTATTAGCTGACTCGGGAAATTTCGTCGATTTTGATTCTGCTCGGTGTAATACGGCTGCATTTCGCGTTCATTAAAATTAATTGTTGCGCGCTATGCGAGCGCGATATTAACGTATTGATAACGGGAAGAGAGGGGAGGGGGGCGGGACGGGCACTGCGCGAAATGCAGCGAGTTTCGTGGCGAAATTATTATTGTTATTAGTAAGTAACTCAA